CCAGGAAATACACTCTCTGTCCTTGGCGCACACATTCATTCGTGCCTAGGGCATTCATCAATTACCCTCGAGACGTTCAAAGTCCTATCAGTCCTCCCCGGGCCACTCATCGCAAGGGTCGGGGACAGCCGTTTACTGCCCTAATTTTTGAAGACCCTCCGGCATATTCACCGGAAAATCCCGCAGTCATCCCGACGCCCCCAACGGAGCCACCGGAAACGCTAAAACACCAGAAGGAAGCAAGAACTTACTTGATACGGTGGCGGAAAAAGATGTCGCGTCGGGTTGAGAAATTACGGAGGTCAAGCAGAAGAATCAAGGACGCTGGGCATATATCTCTGGATGTTGGGCAGTTGCAAAAAAAACGAATGAATGAAAAGACGAGCTAGATCTGCATATATATATATATATATCCCTAGCATGGGAAACAAAGCGTCGCTAGACACTCAAGTACCTAGCTCGTAGCCGCCACAGAAAGACACGTGGCGACCCTCCACCTTCTCTGTGTCCTTTCAGGTTCTCCCCCTCGACCGCGGGCCTTCACCACGTCGTGGGTTCGCCTGGCCGACACAGCCACAGCCAGCCCGACAGAGCGACGCGCTCGACGCCCTTCGCTGCTTAAGTCATAGCTCGCACGACCGCGAACAATGACTTAGGGGGCTACTGTTTTGGACTGGGCCGATGCTTAACCCACCATCGAGCAGGCCCAAACCCCACTGGATTTGGGCCCAATAGGACCTCACGGACGGGCAGAAGATCCGTTGGGCACAGGTCAAACAGCCGTCGGGCAGGAGCTTCGTAGCTGTCTGGCCAGCCTCTTTCTCCCCCGTCGTCTGGCAGAGCCCAGCCTGCCCGGGGAGCTCCTCATACCTCATTCACGATCTCTACGTGCCCACCATGCAGGGACACGTCATTAAGTAACTACCCACGTCCTGGAGATTCGGTCTTCTACCTCTCGGATAGCGCGAAACAGTTACCCTAGGACGAAGACCACGTGCTGGTCTTCACGATGCCACATCAGCCCTAGCAGTTACCAACGTTGGGCCTGGCAGCCCAACCCAATGCAAGGTAACCGTTGGCCCTGCGCTGGGGGCTCATTATAAATACCCTCTTCCACTAGAGGGTCAGGTAACTTAACTCTCTCACTTTTCTCTCTGTACTTGTTATCACTCTGCTTATCGCTTACTTTGACATCAGAGCGTGTTTCAGGTACACCCATATGTCCATCAAGTCAGCAAGTTTGACTGCTCAAACGCATGGCAGCCTATCGATCTCTCTGATCAGGTACGATCACCTCCGTTCCTTTTTATATGAGACATGTCACTTTTTAGGTTCATTAAATAATCAATGTATCAACTCTATAAATTAAATAAATACATTAATTATTCAATGAATCTAAAAAATAAGGTGTCTCTTATATATAGAAATAGAGGTAGTATTACTATTGGATGACAGTGTAAAATATTTTTACACTGTCACTGCATAACAATTAAATCCAATTTATATTTGTCTTTTATAATTTATTATAATTTAAAATAAAATAAAGTTTCAAATGCATGAATAGAAAATGTAAAATTTTTAAACTAAAAAAAATTATGAATCTCTTATTCTAATTTGTATCTGTCGTTTCCACTTCATCTTCTTCCATTCTCTTTCTAAGCCCAAAAGGCACGACATTATAATAGTAGCCGTCATGATAGTAGTTATCACGGTTGGACATGAATGCCTTAGGTGTATCTATGAGGTCCTCTATAATCTAGTTGTACTATAAATATAAAATTATGAAACTCGACGTTTTATAATCTGAAGATCCGTCAATCAGGCAATCTATGTTGGGGAGAAGATATACATCTTTGGGACATGCAACGTTGAGGTCGACAAAACCAACGCACATACGCATTTGTTTGATACCCTTTTCACCAAGACCATGTTAGATAATCAAGAAGTGTATTTAACCTCTGTTATGAAATCAACGCTAGCTTGTTAACTTCTGAACTTCTTCGTCAATGGATTCTCTCTTTTACTCGTCAACCTTGTGCTTTCTTTGAGACACTGACTTGACAAAGAGGTCTATGGTAAGGCGGTGACATACCACTCTGTATCTATGCTCGGAATATCCGAGGGAGGTCAGAAAAATAGGTTGATGTTCTTCTTGAATATGGCAATCAAATCTCTTATTAAGATTTGGACAATGAGGTTCTCGTCTTAGTGGCTTAGTGTTGCAAAGGCCTATCTGAACCTCTTTTAAATTTTATGTTGGGGGTAAACCTTTCACTTTTTTTCCTCCAACATGGGGTCCGAACATGCAATATCGACATTAACCATTATGGACAATGGATGACATTGTTGAGCGGTCACTTGATCCCCTTTAACCGTATCCACGCTACTGTTAAGTAATGGATATTTGAGGCTCAAGTGAAGGGTGGACAAGACCGCCCACAACAAGTTAAGGGTGGACCTTCCTAGGATGACGTTGTAAGGGAAATATGGCATCTAACACAGATATTTACCTTGATGGTTCTTACACTCATCTCCGAGTCAAATGTTATTTCGAGGTGATGTGGCCCTTGACCCTGCACTTGCTATCCCGAAAGGCCGACCAAGTATCTTTGTAAAGCTCAAATGCACCTGGGATTAAGATGAAGCTCTTGGAAGGTGCCTTTGAATTAGATGTCCACTGAGCTATCAATGTCGATCAATACTCGCTTAACATCCCAGTTGGCATATTGAATTATGAAGATAATGAAATCATTATTGTGGGGGAATACACAATTGAATTTTCTCTAAAAAAATGTGATTAAAGGCTCTTGACCCCTACTCGAGGCTTTAAGAATATGGGTGACAAAACAGATCCGACCTGTTTGACATGCTTGTTTTGCAAGTACGTTAGTGCGGGGCAAGCGAAGGGTTTATGCCAATACCCTCTAATGTATCTGCCCATTTTCTTTGCAGGCTTTTGCGGACGCTTGCATTAACATAATTTTTTATTTTATTTTTAGGCTTAAAAGGTGCAGTGTCTGCCCCACTCTCACTTTTTGAGGGTGGACCAAGGTTTTAGGATCACACCTTTAAACTATCACCGACCCACCCCCTTTTGCGCGAAGAGGATCAAAACGGGGTGGACATGTCCGTTTGCCACCCCTATCTAAGAGTTTTAACATGTAAGATGTTTGCTGTTAACACCTGTCATATGTGTTTTCTCCAGGAAGAGCTAGATTATTCTCCATTCGGTACAACCTCCAACAATGATGTCAGTGATATTCTCAGAACTTTGCTCAAACATCCTCGTGAGAATATTGTGAAAGCAACATTGAGTAAATGACAATTGTGACTCAAGTTAGTTTTACCGGACCCTTCGATGGGCGCCAATTGTATTTGCTAAAAGTATAAATGCATGACAATTCCTAAGGATTAAGGGATATCGAATGCTTTAAGATTGTTATGAGGTTGAGAGCTAACTCATGTGGGGTGAGAAACTCTGCACGCGCGCATTAGTTAACCTCCTATATCACGATATTGTGGTACTTATAGCTACCATATACTTAAACTCAAGACTTCCTATAATATAGCAACCACTCCGAAAATGAGTAGTTGATTCCCTGAAATTCAAGAAGCGCAGTTAAGTCCCTTGACTCCCCATGTGTTGTTTGTTGACGCAACACACATTACCCCCACGATCATGCGTTATTGACAGAGATACAGAGGATCTGAGGAACATAACTGGAGAAGGGGTGCCCTATCTAAAAGAGGGATGCTTGAATCAACAAAGGAGTAACCTAAAAAGAACGATAGACGAAACGTATGTCTTCGCCACACTCCCATGTTCATGTCCAATTACACTTCTATATATATAATTATTTACATTTATATGTTTACTATTATGTTTAATTTTAAATAAAAAGTTAATTTAATAATAATATAAAATAGGTAGTATACTCACTAAACTAATAATAACAATAAAAAAAAAATCATTTTATCAAACAATTCAATTATCTGATCGGTTATCAGTTATAACTATTTGATCGATCTGCCATCAATTACCTTCCATAAACTATCACTTATAAATGTTAATCCGAAAGAAGAAAAAGAAAAGTATGAACACATATCTTACGTGTACGTGTAAACTAAAAAACATGCACCACAAGTAAAGTGGCATGCGTGGAGGCTGAAGAATCAAAATGTGATTATTGTGAGGTCCTTTTTTCTCCTCCTTTTGCTTTCTTCCCTCCCCTCACTTTCTTTCAGTTTTCTCTTGCCTACGCTTTCTGGGACCCAAAAAACAGACTGAAAGAAACTTTGACAGAACCCCCAATTTATTAACGTACACATTGAGTCAATACATAGCCACCTCTGTCTTTTCCTTTACCTCAACGAATAATCCTATCAATTATCAACCCTGATCACAATGAATGGCCATTACCATCTTACCACGTTCCAACTCATACTAATTGAAATTCATGGCTCCATGTCATGAATCTTTATCACATAAAATCATATTTTTTATTCAATAATTATGACAGCACGCTTGAGCAATGCCATCTACTATTTCTTTTAATATCACAATCTATAATCGTGCACTCCAAGCTACAAAGAGTTTTTTCAAAATGACACATAATTCTAACAAAAACCTTAACAATAACAATAAAAACATTTAAAAGATTCTCCAATCCAATAATGCACAAGGGTATGTTTGTGTGTGTCATAGCATTAATGTAAAAGACGACAAGATACTCCACCACCTTGTTGGAAGCTAACAACAAACTTTCTACACAAAGAAAGCAACTAAGAGATAGTGAAATAAGTTAACCCCTCCCCCAAGTTACCACAATTGCTACCAAAGCATCACAAATTTAAGCGTGCCCTCTAACCCCTCCATTCTAATTCATTCAATTCTATACTTATAAATATAAACATATCTTCATTAAATTTCCACAAATACTCACCCTTTTGTCCTTTTTCATATTATCATAATCATCATCATCATCATCATCATCATCATCATGGATCATAGACTTTGTGTAGATGAACAAGGAGATAGAAGCATTCATCTAGAAGTTGGTGAACTTAGGAGGCTAAGCGAGACAACGAGCAAAACCGCCACAATGTTCGAGCCTCGCCGTGGCCTTAGCAGTATAGAAAAGAGAGATAGTTGTGAGGCTGATCAAGAAAACTCTAATAGTGAATGTTCAACATCGGTTAGAGCACCAGAAAAGAAACTTACCTTATTCGCCCTACGCCTTGCCGTGCTTGAAAAAGCAGCAACTGGTTTGGGAACTCTTGGTTTTATATGGGCCACCGTTGTACTTCTCGGCGGTTTCGCTATTACTTTGGATAAAACAGACTTTTGGTTCATCACAATCATACTCTTGATTGAAGGAACAAGGATTTTCAGCAGGAGTCATGAGCTTGAGTGGCAGCATCAAGCCACATGGTCTATTACCGAGTCAGGAATCTATAGTTTCAAGATGCTTAGAACGAGTTCGAATTTAATTCTTCAAAGTATAAAGAATCTCTGCAGGCCTATTAATGATGCTGTAAAGAAACATAGGAGAGACACGGTGGAGGCTAATGTAGTTACGCCGAGGAGTTCGGATAACAGAAACACTAGGACAACGACTCGCACGTGGATTAGTTCAGATGTTCCACTTTTACCTTATGCTAAATGGTTTTTCCTTTCAAGGCATATCAGCAAGGTTCTATATTGGCTTCAGCTTCTTTCTGCAACAGCTTGTGTGGTTCTGTCTTTGACGAAGCTCATCAGACATGATTACGGAGAGATTGCTAAGGGAGATACGGATAAGAGGAACCGGGCATCCGCTCTTAACATCTTTTACGCATTGGCTCTTGCAGAAGCTTTGTTGTTCTTAACTGAAAAGGCTTATTGGGAATGGAAGATAAGTTACTGTGAACTATTGGATGAGGTTAACAAAGAGTGTGAGTTGGGGCCGTCAGGGATGGTTTCGATTCGGAGATTCTTTTATGATGCGTATTCGAGGTGTGTCAATGGAAGCATATTTGATGGATTGAAAATGGACATGGTTTCTTTTGCTATGGATCTGTTGGCCTCAAACTCACCTGATGAGAAGCTCATTGGAGCAAGAATTATTCGGCAATTCGCAAATAGTGAGAGGTTTTCCGACGATACGCTTCAAAAGATTGGAATTTCTATTTCATTGGTGGAGAGACTAGTTGAGATGTTGAATTGGACAGATCACAAGGAAGAAGAACTCAGGCTGTCGGCTGCTGAGATTTTATCGAAACTAGCAGGTAAGAAGCAGAACTCTCTAAGGATAGCCGGGATACCGGGAGCTATGGAATCCATATCCTCTCTTCTACAAACTAGCAGAAATTGTATGCATGCTGCTGATGAAGTAGGAGAAAAGAAACTCATATTTGATCACCCGAGTTACGGATTCTGGACATTTAACCATCTAGGACTACTCATTCTGAAAAAACTCGCGCATGATCATGACAACTGCGGAAAGATTGGAAATACAAGAGGCCTACTTCCAAAGATTGTAGATTTCACACATGCCGAAGAAAGCCTGCTGAAGAACGAAAACGTTACTCCGTCCCAAATACAAACAGTGAAGAGATCTCTGCAGCTGGTGAAGATGCTGGCTAGCACAACAGGAACCTATGGAAAACATCTTAGAAAAGAGATTTCAGAGGTAGTTTTCACAATCAGCAATATCAGAGACATTTTAAGACATGGTGAGAAACATCCCTTGCTACAGAAACTGAGCATCGAGATTTTAACAAGTCTTGCGTTGGAAGGGGAAGCGACAGAGAGGATTGGAGGTACAGGTGGAGTGCTTAGAGAATTGTTCAACATATTTTTCAGACAAAGCATACCTGATAACCAGAAAGATGTAACAATGGTTGCTGGCGAGGCCTTAGCAATGCTGGCGCTAGAAAGCAAGTACAACTGTCATCGGATTTTGAAGTTGAGAGTGATCGGAAGGCTTGTAGAAGCATTGAAAATTCCGCTCATTCGTGTCAGTGCCGCTAGAATTCTAAGAAATTTATGCAACTACAGTGGATCAGAATGCTTCAACCAGCTAAAGGGAATCACAGCAGCAGCTCCCACAGTAAGTCTTATTTTGATTTGTTAAGCGTTTATCATATAAGTGCTTATTTATACGTTTTTTTTTAACAATTGCTTAATCTTGCAGGTACTTCAGGCAATCATGTTACAAGAGAACAAGCTACAAGAAGTGATGGTTGGGCTAGCAGCAAATATTTTCACATTCATGTCTTCTTCTGAATCAAGATATGTGTTTCAAGAAACTGGAATCACTGAGGCTGAATTGGCCAAAAAACTAGTCCAAATTCTCAAGAAACATCAGTATCCAGCAACAAAGGTCCCAAGAATCAGGAGGTTTGTAATTGAGCTGGCTATTTGGATGATGAAAGACAAAAAAGAAAACATAAATAATTTTAAGGATCTGCAAATGGATGAGGTGTTGGAAGATGTATTAGAGACCACGTCAGAGCTCGAAAGCTTTAACGTTTTCTCTGGCACTGTCGGCCTGAATCGGCACAATCTAACAATTCACTCACTGGTTGAGACAGCTTTGAAGTTGCTGGAAGACAAGTAAGAAAATCAAACACAGTACATTATTGCAAAATCAATAATCCACGTTGATTAAGAGCAATCACTGTAATAATGTACCTGTATTGTACATATCTGTGTGTAATTTTCAAGGGCTAGATAGAACTATAGCCTTATTCAGTAATTTATTCATTAATTTATTTCTTTCACGATTCAATGTAATTATTTGAATTAAATTAAACCTATAGTTTTCATTTATCTAAATCTACTATGATAATTCTCAGATAGATAAAACAGACAGATTTAATCGGAACCGACACATAAGTGTCAAAAATAGTCTAATCATAGATTCTCCCTCCATGCTGGTATTACTCCCTATTTGCGACTTAATTACAAATCATTCGATAAAAAGTTTGTGGACTCCCAATCAACATTCTAGGCAATCACTTTCGAGACGACTCCTGCACCAACTGTCCGGCCTCCTTCTCTCAAAGCGAATCTTTGTCCTGTTAATAATCGAATGACTGTTGTAAGATTATACTGTTGAATATGGTCATACACAAAAAATGTTGAATATATGAAATCAAGTAGTATTTATGTGATCCATCATAAGTAATGCTTACCAAGTTCAAGAGGAACAGGTAATATCAACTCAAAAGTTGCAGTCACATTATCACCAGGCATAACCATCTTGACATTTTCAGGTAATTGCACTTTTCCAGTAATGTCTGCAGTCCTCAGGTAAAACTGAGGCATATAGTTAGAGAAAAATGCAGTATGTCGGCCACCTTCATCTTTTGAGAGTACATAAATCTCCGCTTCAAACTTCTTATAAGTTTTCAACGCACCAGGCTTCGTGATAACCTGTAATTCAATTTTTTTGACATGTTAGTTGCTACTTTTTATTTTTGTCTTTGAATGAAAAACAGTTTTACTCACCATTCCACGCTGTACATCGTCTCGCTTAAGACCTCGTAGAAGAAGTCCTACATTATCACCAGCCTAGAAATGTACACATATTGTTCAATTATCCACTAATCCAAACCGTGAGGAAAACATAGTAGAAGATAGGAAGAGTTATATGATTTTACTCACTTGCCCTCTATCCAAAATTTTCTTGAACATTTCCACACCAGTTACAGTAGTCTTCACAGGTGGACCCTATACACAAAAGACCGATAAATACAAAAACATAAACCACAAAGCAAAAATACCTATAGGCCATTAATTTTCTGTGTACCTGTGTTAGTCCTAGTATTTCAACCTCTTCACCAACTTTGATAGTGCCTTGTTCAATGCGACCAGTGACAACAGTTCCACGCCCCTTCACACAATTTGAATGTGGAGTGAATACAGAACAGAATATGGCACTGCATCATGAATATGACATATTTCTACTTACCTGAATAGAGAAAACATCTTCAATTGGCATTAAAAAAGGCTTGTCAAGCTGCCGGACGGGATCAGAAATGTATTCATCGACAGCATCCATTAGTTTCAAGATAGCTTTCTTTCCAAGTTCTTCATTAGTCCCTTGCAAGGCAGACAAAGCCGAGCCTCTCACAATTGGGATCTCATCCCCAGGAAATTTGTAGAAATTAAGTAGTTCTGCAAAAAAGTTGTTGGTAAAAGGATACACATACATTAGCAAAAAGTCTTAGATTTTTTTTTTCTTGTCATTCAATTATGAGATAACAAATTTATACCACGAAGTTCCATTTCGACAAGTTCAAGTAACTCCGGATCATCCACGGTATCTACTTTATTTAGAAAGCAGACTAGTGATGGTACACCAACCTGCAAAGAAACATGTATGATCTTAGAATGGCTTTGGTTGGTTTAACAGAAAAAAAAATGAACATGTTAATAAAATGATGTACGAACCTGACGAGCGAGGAGTATATGCTCCTTTGTTTGAGGCATTGGACCATCTGGAGCAGAAACTACGAGGATTCCGCCATCCATTTGTGCAGCTCCAGTTATCATGTTCTGTAATTTCGCCAAACGAATTAAGAATAATGGCAAATTAAATGGTGCAATTGAAATTAAGGCTGTATTGTGAATAGAGAAGAAAAAAGAGTGACAAAGTATGCATAAATCTCCAACTATAGCAGTATATGATTGATGATGAAGGTTACCTTAACATAGTCTGCATGTCCAGGGCAATCAACATGAGCATAATGCCTCTTTGCTGTTTCATATTCAACATGAGCCTGCAAAATCAACAAGATAAGACCTATAGTTAGGTCAAGAGTAAGCTTTACAAAATTCGACACTTGAAAATTTCACAAGATGCATGATTTGAGTATGGAGTATGTGTTACTGTGGCAATAGTAATTCCTCTTTTCTTCTCCTCAGGAGCCTTGTCTATTTCATCAAAAGCAATGGCCTTGGCTTTACCTTCATCAGCTAGTACCTGTTCCAAAAAATCAATCAATCAGTTCGCTTGTATAATATGTTTATCAAGTACAAAACATAAAACTCACACAAATTAGAATTCCTCTCCACTATGAAAGTATCATATATATATAAAATGTTGAAAATCAGCCCTCAAACCTTTGTAATTGCAGCAGTTAGTGTGGTTTTTCCATGATCTACATGCCCAATTGTTCCAACATTTAGATGAGGCTTTCTGCAAATAAAAAAAGAAACAATAATAACCACTTTCATACATTGACACCGGTAATAATATATATAGAACCACTTTCATGTGTAGATTTTAATCTGAAGTATCTATTTATATGATAATAATGCGTGTAAACCTAATATTTTTATGTGCATGATTGCATGCATATGAGTTATATAAGCATTGCAGAGCAAGCAATGTAGTAAGGTTATGCATTAAGAAATGAGAAATGTAGTTAGGGTTTAAATATATATTACGTTCGTGCGAAAGTGGCCATGGATCTCTGAAGAGAAACAAGAGGAGATGCAACATTGTCGTGGGTTGAAGAAGTTGGACGAGATATGAAATGGAAAGATAGGAGAAGGCGTTTTCTGAAGAAGGCAACGGAAGCCATTGGAGTGTTAGAAATGGAAGGAATGATGAATAGAGAGAAAGAGAGAAGTGAAGTGATCGTTGTCGAGTGAGTGTGTGTGTGAAGAGTCGCATGTTGTTGGTTCCTGATCTGGTGGGCGCTGTGATTAAGTGACACGTTATGAACTGAATCCGCACAAATCTACAACGTTAAATCAAGTCACAATATCAGATACTATATTCACTCACCTTCGCAGTTCCCACATTCATACATGTCTAATTAATATTATATTAAATTATTATATTTCACTGCCGACAACAATACATTAATAATTAATACTCCTTTCCTCAAAAATATTATTAATTAGAGGGTAAAATAAAAAAAAAATATATTAAAATTAAAAATAAATTATATATTTTAAAACACTATTTTATTCAAAAAGTCACTCATCGTAAAACCAAAGTAATGTTAACTTAATATCACTGTGCCTTTTAACAATTTTATAATTTTTTTTAAAACAGGTTAAATTAAATAATGAGAAAATTACACTCACTTTCATTAGAATTCATTAAAATGGATATAGACACTCCATCTAATTTTTTTTCCACCACCCGTATTTGTAAGAGATCGAACCGTGATTCTCACTATCGAGTCCAGCGCCAATCACCACTGGACCAACTAACTATTGGTACATCTAATTTTAAAATAGACATTAATCTCCCATAAGTTTTTTTCAAATAGACAAACAACTCACTTTCCATTAACACTCTAACGGTAAATTGACATTTACAAACGATTTTTCACAATATCTCGTGATATGTATGCTTTCCAAAACCCCTTATTTTCATATTATCTCGAGGATGGCTTTAGGGATACCTTATGTTGTCATCTCTCTTTGAGATATGTTTTCTGTCGTAATTTCATTGTGCGTTAGATTATTGTGTCTACTTAAAGAGTTGTCTTCACAAATACTGCAAATTCAACTTTTGTTGTTGTCAATATGACGACCTCTTTAATGAATAATCTGTAAGTATTTTCGTAAACAGTCTGAGATTTGTCCCGATTGTTGGTGCAAAGGTAGAATAAATGATGAATAGAGAAATATTCTATTAAGAGAATGACGGCTACACACTACTACACAAATTGCAATGATTGCTACCCTATTTATAAGCTAAAACTAAGGTTACTAGAATAAGATAAAAATACTAAAATACCCTCTAACAAACTTAGGGGCTAAGAAAATAGTACAACTAATAAATATGAATTACTTCTAATACCATCCCTTACTTCATATTCCATCAAAACTTGTAACACCAATTTCATCCCTTAATCTGAGAAATTGATCAGTCTTGATAGCTTTCGTCAGAACATCTGCCAACTGTTTCTGAGTGCTGCAGTGTACAACTTCTAACACTCCACTCTGAACTTGATGTCTCAGAAAGTGATACTTGGTCTCAATATGCTTGCTTCTCCCATGCAACACTGGGTTTCTGGCAAGATTGATTGCAGATTTGTTGTCAATCATCAGCTTCAGAGGTTTGTTTATTTTAATCTTCAGATCCTGCAATAGATTCAGAATCCACCCAGCTTAGCATGCAGTAACAACACCTGCAATGTATTCAGCTTCACAGGTTGATAACGCCACAACAGGTTGCTTCTTGGAACACCAAGAAATGGGACCTCCCAGAAATTTGAACAAGTACCCAGAGGTACTTCTTCTGTCAACTCTGTCTCCACACCAATCAGAATCTGAATAACTCAGAAGTTTTGACTCATCCTTTCTTCCAGAAGGAAACAACACTCCATACTTCAGAGTTCCCTTGATATACCTCAGAATCCTGACAGCAGCTTGGTAATGGGACCACTTAGGTTTACTCATGAACCTACTAACCATCCCAACAGAATAGCAAATATCAGGTCATGTATTGCACAGATACCTCAGAGAACCAACCAACTGTTTGAAGGTTGTAGCGTCCACATCCTTTTCATCAGAGTCAGAATCCAATTTCTGATTTGTATCAGAAGGTGTGACAGCAATCTTACAATTCTTCAGTTCAAATCTCTTCAG